TATTTCAATAAATTCTGATTTGAGATATCTCTACCTTCTACCATACAATAATACCATTCTTCATAATTTATTCTCTTTGCAGTGCCGTGAAAATAATGAAAGATTGTTCAATCAAAACACAGTCAAATATATTCCAATTCAGTATGTGCTGAATAGCTATTCTCATTTTGAACCCCATTCTTACCAATATAGACCAGCCATACCAATTAAGAATCAATATATGCCTTATCCATATTATGCAAAACCAGTTGCAGCTAGACCACATGTTCAAATTCCTCAGTGGCAAATCATGCCAAATATCTACCCACACACTGTGGTACGTCACGCATACCAACATCCATCATTTATTGCTGTTCCCCCCAAAAAAGTTCAAGATAAAACAGTGATTCCTAACATCAAGACCATTGCTACTGTTAACCCTACATTTATTCCTAACACTGAACCAATGGTGAACAGTGTAGTTACTCCAGAAGCTTCTTCAGAATTCATCACAAGCTTGCCTGAGACTACCACAGTCACTTCAACCATGGTCTAAAAATTTTATGGAAGCATCAAGGAAGACAGCACAGGTAATGAGCAAAAGGAAAAAAAAATGAATAAAGACAAGATTCATGGATTTACCAATACAATCATAAAATCTAAAGAGTACAAATGGATAAATTAAGACTGCTATGGGGACAGGCAAAATGTGCTGATTATAATTTTAATTTGATTGTACCAAAGCATTGATACACTAGATTCTGTTCCAACAAGAAATGAAAAATAATCTTATTTTACAAAATGAAGAAAACTTGGGGTGTTTATCATTAAACTTTTTTTCAACAATTGGAACACTCCTCGAATCTATTAGATTTATTTCATTCCTAATCACACACAAAGACAGTAAAATAAAATACTATGTTAAAAATCATATTTTTCTACCCTCAAAAACCTCAAAAAAAATAAATTTAGAACAATTTATACTGGGTTATGAGTTTAAATATATTTTAATTGTTTAACAGTGTTTTTGCACTCTAATTTGGTATAAAGTGAAAGGAAATGATGTTTTCCATGCATTCCTTTATTCTAGACTTCATTTCTGAAAGAATCCATAAAGTTAGGCACCCAAATTTCTCCTATTTTAAAATAAACTCATGGAGGAATTCTAATTCTGAACTTTGAAAAGTATATAAATATTTAGAGGATACATTCAGAACCTTAAATGTGATGTAAAATGTTTCTATTTATTATTTGGATCAATAGATAATGGCAGCATATAAGATAATTTGAAACATATAAGGATAAGTTAAATAAAGAGAAAGATTAATGAGACAGGAACTCACCAGAGAATGTGAAATAATTTGGAGAGAAAGTTACAAAATTTTGAGAGTCTTTGCAACAAATATTTTCAATGTATCACATTGTCTACATGTTTTATGATCTAAAATGGAACACAATGATCTGTGATATAATGGTAATAATTGGATCAATGAAGTCTGCTTCTTCCATTATGTGACCTTAGGCATTTTACATAAATCTGTAAAATGTAATGATTAGAAAACATAAAGTAAAATTAATAAATAGTAGAATTTACTTGTAGCCAATGTCTCAAGTCCTTACTAAATAATATAAACTTCACATAATTTATCTCAGTTTATGCCTATAGCAACCACATGGAGCAGATTATATTACTTTCCTGAATTCACAAATGAAAAAGAGAAAATGGGCCTATAGATGTTAAGTAAGTTACTACAGCTAGAAAGTTCAAAACTGGGAATTAAATTAAATCTGTTTGATTTCAGAAGTGAGGCTTAATTATTATTATGTCATGTAGTTCCATTTGGCTGTCTGATTTGCAGAACAGGAAACACACTATGATTTCCTTAGATCAGTACATATATAAATTGTATTATTTAATTGTTATTTAACAGACATCTCATAGGAGAAAGAAGATAATAACGATAAATTTTTGACTTATTAAAGTTTAGAAAGCAAAATAAGAAAACAAATGCAGAGAACATGAAAGCAAGTAATTGAGTATGTAGTTATGTATTCATCCAAAATCATATATTATTACATTATTATGTTTTTAATAGAATAATCATTATTTCAATAATTATATTTACTCAAAATTCATGAATATAAATTTCTAAGCTAAAACCATTGTATATTATAAAGAAGCATGTAAAGGACAGAATCTATCTGTAAATATTAGGTCAAGTTAATGATTTGCAATTCACTATATGCCAAGTTTAAATAATTAAATTTAAATATTTAATTTAATAAAATCCTTGTATACTAACTTATTGAATACAAAGAGACAAATTATGGAAGCTAAAAAAAATCTACATATCATGATAGCTATTAACACATTATGAACTAAATTCCTAAAATGTCATCATTTTTTTATAGATCTTGCTGAAACAAAATGACTACTTCGAACTCTCCTTTGTCCACTTGTCTGCCTTCAGTGAAGAGAGAATGTGATTTTCACAAAATTAGCTCCTTTCTCTTTTTCCCTTACATTTTACTTTCATGTCACATTTAATTTTTTGGATCTTGTACAATAAAGCCAATTGAATGCAACTGGATCTCTTAACTTGAGAGGAGTCTGTGGGTAAGCTTCAGGGATCTTTCAAATCTTGAAACTCCAAGACAAGTTTAGTGTGAGTTTGAGTACACAAGTTTAATTGGGGACAAAGTTCATAATTTTTTTCTGATTCTCAAGGAGGTACATGGGCTAACACTAATCAAGAATGCCTTCTCCAGGATGACTCTGGAACATCTAAATTTATGGCCTAGTCACTGGGACCAGGGAAGAACGAAGCCACTGTGTTCCAATCCAGAGGACCCCAAAGTGACTCTTATGAGTAACAGAGTTAGCATTAAATTTAAGTGTCCAAATGTATTGTTAACTTTAATCTAGATCAGGGTTCGGCTAACTTTTGAGACGGAGGAGCCGCCAGGAGTCAGCAAACTGCAGCTCACGAACCACCATATCTGAAGCAAAATTGAAAATGAAAATAAAACTATCATAGTTTCATTTATAAAATGTTTAAAGCATATTATTCACATAATGGTGATTATGTAAAAATATATTTATGGCTCTCCAATAATTTGTAAATTGTTGTGAGGGAAAGGGTTGGCTTTTCCAGGGGTCGGCAAACTTTTGAGACAGAATGTACCCAAAGAACTGCATGCGGCTTGTGAGCTGCAGTTTGCCAACCCCTGGTCTAAATCATTCCCAAGAGCAAATCCTGGGTGCAGTCAGGCTACAGATGACCACAGCTACAAACACAGATGCATGGCAACATTAACAGGAAGTGACTGAGGCTTTTTTTTTTTTTAGTGACTGAGGCTTTTGACCTGCATGACCAGTTTTCTCCAGACTGGAAGATATCGTTTCACAGCTGTCCAAACACACACACACACACACACACCAGGAAGCTTCTGGAACTGAGGTCCACCAGTCTACAAAAATTAATGAAAACTCAAAGTCCAAAAATGTAACATAGTGTTTCCCTTAATCAAATACGGCAAGGAAAATGAGTGGGTCATTTAAGTGCTTGCTCCATATTTAACACATCATGCCAGGAAGAATATAAATCACTTAATCCTTACAAATTTCTTGTCACCCATCAAATCTTTTGCTAAAACCCTCAATAGATGTGCTGTTACTAGGCGTGACTTCCAAGGTTTTACTTGCTCTTTCACTCAAATGCTAGAGCTGGAAGGGAGGCATGGTCAGGAAGATGACATGGCTGAGCCTCGTTTGCTATGACCATTAATAATACTACCAATTTCTTGAAAAACAATTAAAAAATGTAGAAGAGGTGGAATTTAATTCATTAATAAAAAAGCTTATCACCTACTATGTACAATGTACTAAAAGAATTATTGTGGGACACAAAACAATATGTTAATAATAAGCAATCAACAGTTACATAGTACATACTATAGGTCAGTCTTCTCTTTATTTACATGCATTTACTCATTTAATATGTATGCATTAATTACTTATTATTATTATTATTATTATTATTATTATCACTATGAAAGAGAAATGAAGTAATATTCCCTAAGTGGAGCTGGGATTTAAACCCAAACAGCTTTGCTATAGTGAAAACTACTATGAAAACATTTCTAACCCGGTGGGTGAAATTAAATCTGAAACAAAATACTTTGCAACAGAAAAACATAAGTATTAATATTGGCTCATATTAATATAATGTGTCTAATTAAATAATATTCAGAAAAAGAGTTGTTAAAAGTGGGATTTTAAGTTAAACGCTTACTTCCCTGATATGACATTACCCTATCTTTGTACCAATTGGATTAACTAGTTGGAGTATTCTATATGCCTAATATTGCATAGTAAATCCCCCAACTACTATTTATAAGCTAAGAAAATATATTGATGAGTTGCTTATTTTGAATTTGGATTAATTATTTTCAGATGCTAGGGTGCATCTAAGTGAAGGTGGTTTGCAACAAATGAGAAATTAAGAAAAGAAAAAGAAATCTGATCTAGAGCAGATTCATTCATCAATTATTTGCCAAATGCCCACTATGTGAATATAGTAGGTTTCCTCCCCACATTTAGGACTTCATGGTCTAATGAGTTTAGAAAAACATTTCATTTTTGGGTGCTACAAAACAGCCTTATCTGAAAGTTCTCAAGTCTTCCAGAACGCCATGATGAGTTCCATAACGGGCATTTATATAGCATTTTTAAATGTATAAAGCGCATTCACATATATCAACCTCTTAGTCTTCACCTATAACCTCTTGAAATAATGTTTTACTGACCCTCATTTTGTATATGTGAAAATAACTTTAAAATGGTTAAACAACATAGTGAAAACTTATGGGCTTTAGATTTAGGTAGAACTGAATTAAAGATTTAGTTCAACATTACTTAACTGTATGACCTTGGGTAATATACAGAATAGAAACTAACTTTTTTATTTATTGATTGATATATGTGTCAGGCTCTGCAACAAGGATTTTACAGGTATTACTTTATTCCATATGGTACCATATGGTACCTCTTAGAAAACAAGTTCAGAGAGGTTAAGTAACTTGAACAACATCGAAAAGTTACTGAATGGTATAGTTTAGCTTTGCACTATAGCAATTTAATCCACCAACCTTCATTATTTTACCATTAGCACGTACAACCTTTAATCTGAGACATTCATTAGCATGCCATATATTAACTGGATGTTCAGTAAAGTTTCATTCCTTTATTCCTAAATTCCTTAAGTGACATTTCCAGTGATATCCACTGTCTACAAGATAAAGTCAACTTTCATCATCTTGCTATTACCTTCCCACCTCACCTCTCTCTGTTAGATCTTATACCCCACACCCCAGTGACTCAAAAATTTCTGTAACAGCTGTAGTTGGATCATCACCATCACCAGCACTTTTCTGAATCTGCTCATCCTTTTGATAATTCACATCACATAATCAAAATTTGACTTCTAGACTTAGATATCACATCCTTAAGAAAACCTTCCTAAACTTCCAAGATGAAGTGTTCCACTAATGTGC